GGACGAAAGAGACATGCAGCGTTTACCTGTGAAAACACAATGTTATGCGCATCTTGGAATAAGTTGCGAATTAGGGAATAGAAAAAATGGGACGCGAGACGCATGCAGCATTTACCTGTGAACACACAATGCTTTTTGCTGTTTGGAATAAGTTGCGAATTAGGGAATAGAAAAAATGGAACGGGAAGCACAAAGGTTGCACTTACCTGTGAAAACACAATGTTTTGTGCACTTAGGAATAAGTTGCGAATAGGGAATAGAAAACAACGGGACGGGAGACAGACAGTAGGCATTTACTTGTGAAAAGCCAATGTTTTGCGCAGTTTGGAATAAGATCATGCAAAGTGATGTTTCCACAACAGAGTTTGGAGACAACCAGATGTGAAAACAACAGAGAGCGAGACAGTACCAACTGGGGTGTGCGGCATGCCGCGCACCCCAGTTGGTACTGTAGATGGACGAAATATTCAAACCCCTTCTATCCGGTACAACCCCCCGGCCCCCTAAGTTCAATGTTAATGTAACCTGAAGTGCATTAGCCCTAATGGACGAAACAAATCAAACCCCTAACATCACTTTTGGTAACACGCGCGCTGAAACATTGAGATTTGGGGGTGCGGGGGTTCAACATAGTGCATGTTGCAGGGTTTGAATATTTTGCCCATCTACTGTAGTAACCTCAATATACCGTTAGATTCATGTTTTAAGTGATCAATTTGGATTCAAAAAAACCTGTGACACTGCGAGTATTTCAAGGGATTTATATACCATAATTTACCCGCTGTGCTGGTTTCTTTTTATCTCATGGGATATGTAGCTAACTTGACATGGCTCTCAGTAAGGCGGATCGGAGCCATATTCCCAAGAAAGGCGGATCGGAGCCATATTCCCAAGAAATGGGGAAAAAAGGAGTTATGAATAGAGTTTCCTAAGCACATGATAGTCAGTTTAGATTGATTTCAATGGCTCAGGGCATTTTATGATTTGTTGGGCTTTAGATTTGTTTAGATTCATTCGATCATGTTTCTTTTTAGGTAGAGCTAGGTTGAAGACAAGATGTGTTTGTACATGGCAATTTTGCGCAGGATAGATGACGTAAACATATGTAAGCTGGACTAAACTATAGTAAAGACTGATTCACGAATGATTCGATAGGAAGTTGGATAGATATCCCAGAGGCTGGCTGCATGAGAATCTCCACGCCCTTGGGCTCCAAGGGCTTCTTTTTTGCGCCTTGGCCTCAAAGCTGGCGCAAAACGCAAATGCGGAATGGGATGATTATGATATGATAATAGTTAAGGACTGGATTGGACCATGAGACCCCAGCAACCCATCCATTCCCTACGTTTCGCACCAGAAAGTGGCCGCCCTTGGAAATCCCCAAAGTGGAGCTTTGTGGCTGGGAAAGTCACCGAACTAAATGGTGAATTTTCCGGAAAGCCACGTTTGATGCCACCGGAGGGTATTCATCCCCAAGCAACTGGATGGGTAGTTGCTGACGCCGTGCCAGGTGGCCTGTGCATTTTAACTCATTTTAGCGTTTTGTATATAAATAAATAAATAAATATATATACATATAAAAATAATATTATAAATATTATATATGGGGTGGGTGGGGTGGGGGTGGGACAGTAACGTCTTGACGACCACGTCCTTGATATATACTACGTTGTCAATACATGTTCCACCAACTATAGGAAGACGTTGATACTGCAATGTGATGCTACGTTGACAGCACGGTGGGGTGGGGTGGGAAAATGACGCTGACGCTGCCGCCCACAGGCCACCCGGCACGGCGTGACCTGGGTAGTTTAATCATTTAGTTTTTTTTGCTATAAATGGACAATTGTAAAAAACATATCGCCAAAAACAGTAAAAGATTTAACCATTTAGAGTTTTTTGCAATAAATGGGCAATTATATCACCACAGCAAAAGATTGACCAAAGATTGACCAAAGTAAAATGTCAAAAAGGATGGCAACTAGCGAAGATTTGCCTTGCCTAGCCTTGGAGGGGGTGCCAGGTCCCAAAGCCGTGGAATTTTCAGCAGCATGAGGGCAAGGTCAGATGGAAATGGGACAAATCCATACAAATCTTTCAACTTATCCTTGAGCAGCTACATATATATATATATTGATAGTTACATATACATATATATATATGTAGTTACATATATATATATAGTTACACACACATATAGTTACATATATATATATATATGTAGTCACACACATATATATATATATGTCTGTATACATATGTAGTTCCATATCTCTATATATATATATATATACATGTGTGTATAGTTACACACACATTCATATATATATATATACGCATAAATACGCAGATGGGTTTGCGAAGCAGCCGGGTCAGGTGGGCTGAGCAATTCCTGATGATGTATGATGATTTTGTTCCCCTTCAAGCGTGCTGGCCTTTGCACTTTCGGGTGTTGGGAGCAGAAACGGATCGGTTGAACAGTCCGCATCAAATTCATCGAGGAATATTACATTCTGAAATTCGAGGATATGACAAATGGACATTCCCAAGCATATCGATTTTTTAAAAATGCATATAAATACCTACAATATACAAACGCACACACACACATATATGTATATATATATAATATAATATATATATATAATATAATATATATATATAATATATCTATGATATATATATACTATATAATAATGTTGAGTTCTGATTTATCAATGCCCCCTGAATAATGCTAAATTTTTCCCAAAATAAATAATAAATGCCCCCTAAATAATGCTAAATTTTTTTGGCCCTAAACCCAGATTTGCCCAGATGGGGCTGAAAAAAATTGTCCATAAACCCAGATTTCTCCAGATTTGCCCAGATGGGGCTGAAAAAAAAATCCATGCTTTATTTGAGGTGGCTTTCATGTACTAATTCATATTGCCAGCTCATTAGATCTTACCTTGATAACTTCAAATTTTCAAAAATAATGGTTGCTCTTTTCTATTCAAAACCTTTATTCAAAATTACCCAAAATCAATCCCAAATCAACTCGTCAAGGGTACCCCCCATGAGGTGCCTTGGCACTAATTAGAGTTTGACCCTGAATAAAGCTAATTGTTTTTGGCCCTAAACCCAGATTTGCCCAGATCCATGACATGAATACTAAATCAATACTAAATCCATGACATGAATACGAGATCAATACTAAATTCATGACATGAATACTAAATCAATACTGAATCCATGACATGAATACTAAATCAATACTAAATCCATGACATGAATACTAAATCAATACTAAATCCATGACATGAGTACTAGATCAATACTAAAACAATTGCTGGATTCCTTTTTTTTTTGAAATTGCATTTTATGTATTCGTTTTCAATTGTGGTAATTTAAAACCTTTACATACAAACAAGTTTTATGGTGGCCTTAAGTCTATTTAGGGTCAGAGAGGGGGGGGGGGGCCCCCCTATTGTTAAATCAAGGGCAGACATTATATATACAATGTATATATATTGATAGTTACATATATGTACATATATATAAATGTAGTTACATATATATATATATACATGTGTGTATAGTTACACACACACATTCATATATATATATACACATAAATACGCAGATGGGTTTGCGAAGCAGCCGGCTCAGCTGGGTTGAGCAATTCCTGATGATGTATGATGATTTTGTTCCCCTTCAAGCGTGCTGGCCTTTGCACTTTCGGGTGTTGGGAGCAGAAACGGATCGGTTGAACAGTCCGCATCAAATTCATCGAGGAATATTTACATTCTGAAATTCGAGGATATGACAAATGGACATTCCCAAGTATATCGATTTTTTAAAAAATGCATATAAATACCTACAATATACAAACACACACATATATATATAATATAATATATATAATATAATATATATATATAATATAATATATATATATATAATATAATATAATATAAAATTTGCATATAATCTATATATATATATATACGCACACACATATATATATATATGTATATATATGTATATATATGTATATATATGTATATATATGTATATATATGTATATATATGTATATATATATATCATGTATGTTTATATATAGACAAACATATATATATATATATATTTGAAGATTGGCCCCGCTGAGGTACCGCGCCTCTGACATCGACAAAAACAGTTGCGCTAATGGCATGAGATATCAGCAGGGTATAGCAGGGTACCAGGGTTTGACTCCATACAAGTAGCTGTATGTGCCATGGTCCAAAGTTGGATTTACCTACATGAAAAATAGGGATTGAATATGTTTGAATGGGCTATGAATGGAAGTATAATATGGAATTTGCAATGGGGCATATAAGCAACTGCACTCAATTTCCGGTTTATTTTAAGAAAAATTGTCATCCCCCGATGCATAGGGTTTACTGTAACATACTCATTGTGAGCAATCCCATGAGGGTGGGATAACCCTACCCCATATACCATGTTTTGACCATGGCACATGGCCAGCTTGGACTTTGCGGGATAAGGCACTGCGTATTTCATACTCGCTGCTGTTGATTCTGAAATCAAATTTGCGAGCCTCGCGAGGTTGATCTCAGGGATAGAGAATTATAGTGCACACTGTTCATTTCCCCCTCCTGTCCTATCCACAAATAGGCTTTAATGTCAAGTCTTCGAAATACGTTCTGCGAACAAAGAACATCAGCCACTTGGAACGAACATGTCCCGGCATTCGCCTGACATCAATTCTATTGAGAGACACAACACATCTAGGCGGAGCTTCCGAAATTGGAGGGCCCGAAAATCATCCAAATTATCCAAATTGTTTTCCTTGGGGAAACCAATAGTGCTGCGGTATTGCATTTCAAGCTATACCATTGTCATACTGTGGATGGAAGAAATCCTGCATCCAAGGTGGTGCAGGATTTCTTCCATCCACAGTACCTCCAATGTCATCCTCAGAAAAACCGCAAGAACTTCGCAAGCTTCGCAGCATGGCCCCATGGACGCTACGAGCGAAAGCGACGAGACTTCCAGCGACGTTACGAGTCAAGTGCCGCAGTGCGGCTCCGGCTGCTTCCTTCCGCTGTTGGAGGAGGCGCCTGGGCATCTCACCAGCTTATGGGGACGTAACCGTTGAACCATCGAGCGTGTGTATATATATATATATATACAGTCGGGGGGTGGATGATTATAGTTTGTTTTTGCGGTAGATTCATGGTCCATCCAAGAATCAGTCTGTTCGATGGTGACCCCAGGAGGACCGCAGCTGGAGCAGCTTCCTTCAAGGGGAAGAGGCCCACGAGGGCGGTCGAGTGGTCGACGGCCTGCGTGCCATCCGGAAGCACGAGGTGCCGGGGTTTCGGGTAAGGGGCTCATGGGATAATTTCTGATTGGTGGTTTGGAACATGACTTTTATTTTTCCATGTCTTGGGAAGAATAAATTCAACTTACTGTCATATTTTTCAAGGAGGGGTTGAAACCACCAACCAGATATAGATCATGGCATAATGTATATATAATGGATTATAATGGTGATTAGTTAACCGAGCTGGATTATGACTATACAGTGGTGTATGATACGCAAACAACTATATTTCGATAGGCTGATAAATCAGCGATGGGCCCTTCCGGGGAGAGGGATGATTCTTGGGCTTGTTGCAGACCATTCATTTTGGCCACAAAATGACGCTCAGAAAACCCAGAAGATTTCCATCGTAAGCACCGGGAGAACCGGGGACAACCCTGGACTGTTCAGGAACTCTTTCTGAGGAAGATTCACAGCCTCAGGTGGCTGGGCTGGTCGTTTTTAGTCCTAAAATGGCCTAAACCTCACCAATCTGAAACCATACGCTTTGTTCAGGATGCCAAAGCGTTTGGTTTCAACAGCTCCACATTGTGACATATTGTGACTAAGCGCGTCGAAGTAAATACATCTATATAAATACAATTTTTACAAATATATCGATGCTTATTATCGATCTATTTATCTATTCTATTCTATTCTAATCTAATCTATTCCAATCTAATCTACTTCTAACCTAATTCTAATCTATCTATCCATCCATCCATCCATCCATCCATTCATATATATATATATATGTATGTACACGTGACTCCGTGAAAGCTAGCCATATTCAGCAAAGTAACCCCGTCAGCAACAGAAAATGATGATCCGGAGGTCGGACTGTCTTGACGGTGACCTCATGAAGGAACGATGCAAAACGGGGGAATCATTGCGAAACACTTTCCATGTGAACACATGGCAATCTAGCCAGATGCCATTCCAATAGCTTGAGCTTCCTTGAATTATATGGAAAAAATGGTTTGAATCCGCTTGAATCCTTTTATTGTATTACCAGGCAGGTCATCACGCCACAAGACCCCTAGAAACTGATACTTACATAGCATATTATTGGGGAGGGATAAACATCCATTTGCCAGCTGATGCTAGCGGTTCACGAGGGCACGATGAATCGAAGACTTGGTTTGGACATACGCAGCAGTAAAAAAGACACACGGTTTTGCGCATTGGCTTTGACCCCCATTTGTCGATTGTTTAACATCAATCATGTACCCATCAAACATGGTTAGACCATGTTAGATCCAGTCTACCCATGAGGATTCTCAAGAAAATTCCAAGCAATCCAATCAATATCAGCAATACCATTGGGATAACTTATTTTCATGTATCCATGATATTCATCAGTGATTATCATAACAATTGTGTCATCATTAATTTATCCATCAGTGAATCAACCTGGGGTTCTGGTTGTTTATCTGCCAAGGCCAAGGCCCACCGCGGATTCCTCTCCGTCCCCCTCCCCGCCGTCCCGGCCGTCCCGGCCCCGCCTGGCGTTGGCCTTCTCGGGGGGCGGAGTGCGTGCGGCCTTCGTGGCCACTGGGGTCTTGTGGCGCCTGGCGGCGCCTCGGCGTAGCGATGCCATGGCCGAAAGTTCATGGATTTACCATTGATTTACCCTAAATATGGTTAGTTTGGTAGAGGGTATGTAGGACTTGAATAGGCCACACTAACCCATATTTATCAACATATATTAATCCATATTGGCTCATTCATATGGATTAGACCATATCAACGCTATATGAACCATTCACACTATATTGGCCATGATTCATCAACGACCATTTATCTATCCCTAGCATCCTATACTAACCTACTGTATATTAATCTACATCAATCCATACTAAGTCATAGGAACCATCCCCTGAACCATCCCTAGGAACCCACATTAATCCCTATTGATCCATACCCATATTAACCCACAATGCATATCAACCTACATTGACCATCCGCATCTTCCAATAAGTTTTTTAAAATTCAGATTTTATGATCACCGCCCAAAAAAAACATCAAGAAACAATCCCACTAACTTCCATCCATAACCATCCCACTAACCATTCTTCCAAGATCTTCCAAGGCATATTGACTGTTACCCATCAACTACCATCTATCGCCATTATATCACCATTCCGAAAACCCTCCCATCCCAAGATCGCAACCTAGATCTTTCAACCTAGGCATATTCACTGTTATGTTCTTATAAAATCAACTACCAGCCATCAAAACTCTCCAACCATTCACCAGTATTTAACCTTATGTTGTTATATAAATCAACTACCAGCCATTATCAGTCATTATCAGTCATTATACCCCCATTCATTAACCATCTTCACCAGCTTCCATCTTCCATCGCAAGGCAAGTGGTCGCTTGAAAGACGTGGACTACATCAGTGGCGTCTCGGGCGGGACCTATGCCGCCACGGCCTTCGCCTCGCACCTCGTGGCCTTAAAAGCGCCGGAGGGGGAGAACTTGGACCGCTGGTACCGCCGGGTGGTGGCCAAGATGACGCCTGGGCCAAGAACACGTGGGAAAACCGGGGGATAGTGCTGGAAACTGATGGAACATGATGGAACATGTGGATCTTAGGGATGTTAGGGGGAGGAGTTGGGGAAAACCCTGCAAAAGGTGGTGTTTTTAAAGGCGTTTTATGGTTGAAGATGGGAGAAAAACCTGGATTAGAGTTTGTACTTTGTGAAAGGAACCGCGGGTTGCCCTTTAGTGTAGTAAGGTATGGTGGGTAAATGGTGGGTTGATCTAATTAGGTGGGTATACTTAGTGTTGACTGGTTGATCCCAAGGGATATGCTTGGTGTAGAGTGGTTATATGACTTTCGGGTGCTCAGCACAAATGAAAGTTGTATTTTGTATGAGGAAGTTGGTCTTTGGAAAAGAGGAACTGACCATTTACAATGCCGTTTGTGGAAGTGATGTGAACATGGGTAGTTTCTGATGCAAGTCTGACATTTGAGAAACAGTTCAATGTCAAACTTCTGTCACTTTCCACCCCCAAAACATGGGATGCATGCCCCTACGCCCAATTTCTGAATATGTTATTTTATGTTTGCAATGATTTGCAACCATAAATAAGTCACCGTCGCTAGGACACTCAGCCAGCTTGGGTTCCAGCTTTCTTGGATTCCTAAACAACATCAAGATGTGTATGCACACAAACAGCACCACTTTTAATGTCATCCTCAGGGAGAGCAACCACAAACAAATGACATGTGCCGACATGCGTTTAAACTTTTAGACCCCGTAAACACTGATTTTAG